AACCACTCTGAGGAAAATAGAAGACAGGAAAAAGGAAAAGGATCAGGTAAACAGGAGCAAGACAAGAGCAGCCGAAGCAAATACCCAAGTAGAATGCATCAAAGCAATGAAGAATATAAAAGTCTACGTAACGTACAGAAAGACAAAAGAAACTATGTTGATGACCTGGCGCACGAGGCAGAGGAAGCAGCAGGGGCAGGAAAATGCGAGAACTGTATGAAACCACTAAGAAATTTGCAGGCAGATACAGGAACGCAAATGTGCCAGGAAAGGATAAAGAAGGAAAGCTTCTCACAAATCCAGACGAACAGAAAGAACGCTGGAAGGAGCATTTCAAAGAGCTACTGAACAGACCAAGGCCAGAAAAACAGTTTGACATTCCACCAGCAGAGATTGATCTAGAGGTGAGTGAAGAAAAGCCCAGTTTAGAGGAGATCCAGGAGGCGATAAGACACCAGAAAGCAAGCAAGGAGGCCGGCCAAGATGAAATTTTCACAGAAGTTCTCAAGGCGAATATCGACACTGCAGCAGGGATTCTCTCCTTGGAATTATTGGCAAGATATGGGACGGAGAAGAATTTCCACAGGGTTGGAGAGAAGGATTGCTGGTAAAAGTACCCAAGAAAGGAGAACTTCATGAGTGTAAAAACTACAGAGGAATCATGGTTCTGTCCATTCCTTGTATAATTTTAAGTCATACCATACTGGAAAGACTCTGAAGGAAGCCGTGGATGTAAAACTAAGAGAGGAGCAGGCAGGCTTTCGTTAAAAGAGATCATGTACAGATCAAATTGCAACTTTGAGGATAGTAGTGGAGCAGTCAACAGAGTGCAACTCTTCCCTGCACGTTAACTTCGTTGACTACAGGAAACTTTTGACAGCCTAGATAGGGACTCACTATGGAAGCTCATGCGCCACTACAGAATACTTGACAAGTTCGTGAGATTGATCAAGAAGATGTATGAGGGAATGAGCTGCAGTGTCTTACTTGGAGGGCAGCGGATAGACTCGTTTGAAGTGAAACAGGAGTGAGACAGGGATGCCTGCTATTGCTTTTTCTCTTTTCATTAGCAGTGGATTGGATAATGAAACAAACAGCTTTGGGACAACGCGGTGTCATTCAGTGAACCCTTTCCTGTCAGTTGGAAGACTTGGACTTTGCCGACGACTTGGCACTTCCTTCTCACAGTCGAGCCAGATGCAATAGAAGACAGATCGCCTCAGGACCTTTTCCCGTAGTGTTGGACTCCATATTCACACAGATAAAACTAAAGTTCTTCGAATGAATGCAGCTGACGTTCCTATCACACTGCAAGGGGCACCATTGACGGATGTTGAATCCTTCACCTACCTGGGAAGTATCATCAACAAGGCAGGAGGAACAGACGAAGACATCAAGGTCAGAATCCAAAAGGGAAGCGCACTATTCATCATCCTCAGGAATATATGGAGGTCTAAGGAACTGGGATTGAAAATCAAGCTGAGGATCTTCAAAACAAACGTGAAGACTGTTCTACTGTATGGTTCAGAGACATGGAGGCTCACAGCATCAGCAGCAAGGAAATAGCAGAGCTTCATAAATGGATGTCCAAGAAGGATAGTGGGGATCAAGTCGTCCGATCGAGTCACAAATACTCAATGGGGTGGAAGAACAAGCCAAAGGCCAGTAAAGCAAGACATACAGGTGAAGAAATGAAAATGGATAGGGCACATCCTGAGGAGAACCCCGAAAAAGCATCATCAGACAGGATTTGACGTGGAATCCACAAGGAAAACGTAAGAAGAGAAGACCAAAGACGACATGGGGGCGTGTGGTACAAGCAGAATTGGAAAAGGTGGGGACTTCATGGAAACAGCTAGAAAAGGATGCACAGGACAGGCCTCGCTGGAGAAATGTTGCTGATGGCCTATGCTCCACTGAGAGTTAAAAAGGGCAAGAGAGAGAGAGAGAGAGAGAGAGAGAGAGAGAGAGAGAGAGAGAGAGAGAGAGAGAGAGAGAGATTAGGAACGCACAATCAATACAGCATGCTCTGTCTATAGGGCGGTCAAAAATTCATGGCGCAACATTTTGTCAAATATTTCCTCAACTATCGAACATAGACTCCCAGCTTTTGCACAATGACTTATATAAGTTTGTCTTTTAAGATCAACATTTTTGTAAACGTGTGTTAGCTTTATTCTAGAAAAATGCTTAATAAACATTAATTTGAAAATCCTAATGGGTGGTTTGTAAATATTTTTGAAAGGTTTACGTCCAATGGGCTGGGAAAATATCGGTTTAAAAAGCAAGTGTGTCCTTTCATCTGATCGTGAGACTGTGTTTACTGAAGTCACGTATTTGGGAACCATTAGTGAAAAAAAAATGCTAGATGTAAAATTGAATTTTATGTAACAGGTTTTGCCACTACAGAATGTTATTGGTCAACAGCGAGTAAGCTATATATACGTATGCACAATAAGTGTGAGAAGACGGAAGTGCTGTAAACACTCCCATATTTCCACATGGCTGAGATTTGTAGAGTTTATATACATTTATTATTTAAAATATTTTAAATTTAACCTCAAGAACTGTTGTGGAAATATACAATTAATTTAAGACAAATCGATGCTAACTGGTGTGCAAAGTATGGAGGGGGGGGGGGTGCGGCATTGATTCATCCATTAAAAAGAGATGTGAGGAAGAGCTGCGTCATACATTTTTTACTGCGCTATGAAAGTCTATGTATGTACTGCAACAGACTCGGTGGCCGATAAATAATTTCTCCAATTTTTGCACAGATCTGAACGTAACTTGAGATGAATTAATGTAAGATCATAGAACGCCATAAACCTCAGCTCAAATTTGAACTGGTCAGACGAGCACAGCCGCGTCAGACATATCTCGGACTAACCCAGAAAGGCCTTTTTGATTTGAAGATACTCTGAATTCAAGTCCATAAAGAGGCTTCAAACCTGTTATTACAAGGTGGTAGAATTGATTCCAGATCTACGTAGAACTAGCGCACCTTTTGAAAGAGCAATTTGGGAGTGGTACCAACAGTTCAAAATGAAAGGGGGATTTAAAAAATCTTTAGTCTAAATATGAAAGAATAAAGACAAAGCTTTGTAACTTGGTACACATACTTTTATTTCTCTACATAGTCACTATGCAGAGTTACACATATCTGCTACCTCTCTTTGACCTTCAAGAGTCCTTGGGGGAAAAAGTTACCCATAATGGGCCCCAAACCAGTTTTCAAAAGCTTCCATGGCGTCTTCGTTTTCATGGAAACGACGTCCTTTGAGTGATTTTTTAAAGATTAGGAAACAGAAAAAAGTCTTAGGGGGCTGGGTCTGGTGAATTAGCTGGGTGTGGCAGGATTTCAAAGCCGCACTGTTCTTCTGTCTGGACTGCTTGTTTGACACTACATTGATTCTCATTTCACTTGAGAGCTGTTTAACAGTTATACATATGTCTTGTAGAACCAGTTTCTTCACTATGGATACATTCTCTTCAGTTACCACGAAAAATGGGCGTCCTATACGATCTTTATCCATCACCGACATGAATCCAGATTTGAGTTTTCTTACCCAGTATGTAACAGCATTATAATGAGGACATTTGTCACCATAAACATGGACTATTTCCTGAAAATTGTCCTAACGAGATCGTCCTTCCAAGTGTAAAAACTTGATAACTGAACGATATTCAACAGGCTCCACGGCACAGCTTTAGTAAAGAAAAACAAATATGTTTTTGTGCATGGTTTCATTGACCACACTGACTAGTGCCTTATTATTGTCAGATTTTCCAGAAAATTTGCATCGTGTGTTCTAAAGAAATTGTCTGAAGGAAGGCGAAATTTCATCACTCTACCTTGATTCTTTGATATCAAGAACAAAGACTTATTGAACCCCCCTCGTAAGGTTTTCTTTCAGATAGCTTTGAAAGAAAGGAGTAAGCATTAACATAACGGTGCAAAATGTGGAAGCAGTGTGCCTGTCCATCACGGCAACGCCAAAGAAATGTGTTCGAGGACGTAACTGCAAAGTAGGCTTGTCAAAGTCTCCAACTGAAAAGAAGACAATCGCAGAACTTTCTCCCAAGGAATAAAACCAGCAATTTTTTAGAGAGGAAAACAATAATTACGTGGGTTTATGGCAAGTGAGACAGGTGTATAATTTTTTAAGTTCTGTTTGTTTTGTATATTATGAGTATCACGTCTAAGTGACTGGAAACATTAATTGTGCGCTGTACAATAGAAAGACCAGATGATGTGAATAAGACTGACTTGTACGGTCACACTGCAAAGTGTGTCCTAACCTAGCTAAAGTGTCTTTCTGCGGATTGTGTCAACAGTTACGTATTAAATATTCATGGACACCCGTTAGTTCAGTTTTCAAGCAATTTGACTATTTTTCGTCGGGGTAATCTCAAATATTAAGTCTCAGGTAGGTGAAAGATTCAAAATCGTGACAACGAGCTTGAAATAGCTACCACACAGCTGCAGTATGAGAACGTTTCACATAATGGTTACAACACAGGAATGCATTGCGCGTGATGGGGGCCATGTGGAGCATCTGTTCTAGAGTCGATGACTTTTTCACGTGATACATTGTGTAACTATCTATCCACATGGTTCTTTCATGTTTTCAGCAAAGTACCTTGTTGCATGTTATGCAGTTTTGTTTTGTTTTTTTAAACTGTTTTTGTCATCGAGTTTGGGACACCCTGTATGCTATATCTCATTAATCTAAAAACAGAAATGACGTTAGTTAGCAT